GGTGGCTTCTCATCTCATGCTGAGGTATCACCCCAGGTCAAGGGCAGACACGACTAGGGTGATCTATCCTTCCTGTCAAAGGTAGGGACCCGGGCAGAGAGAGGTGCATCCTGGAGGTGAATGCCTGGCTGCGACGATGGTGTCGCCAGGAGGGATTCGGCTTCCTTGATCACGGGGGGGGTGCTCTTCCAGGGGTGCTTGGCAGAGATGGAGATCACCTTTCCAGGAGCGGGAAGGCCTTGTTTGGACACAGACTGGCTAACCTTGTGAGGAAGGCTTTAAACTAGGTTCGACGGGGACAGGTGAGCAAAGCCCACAGGTAAGTGCTGAATGTGCGGGACTGGGAGATGGGTTGGAAATGGGGGCAACATTGACTGTGGGAGCTGTGGGCTTCTTCCGCATCCCAGTCAGAGTGCTGCTACTGTTCAGCTGGCTCACCCTGCACATTCTAGCTATGCAAGCGCCCTGGCCTGGGAGACCATCTTGGTTACAAGGGCCACTCGTGCAGCTCACTCACACTCCTAGGTTGGCCATCTCTGTGATGCACCCATCGTCCCCCAAATCCACATCCCTATCCAGGGCAGCTGCTTATTGGTTCCCCTTACATTCCTTGTTCCCCCATGGGAAGATTAGGGGGAGGGATAGCTCAGTGGTTTGAGCATTGGCCTGCTAAACCTAGAGTCATGAGTTCAATCCTTTTGGAGGCCATGTGGGGCAAAAATTTGTCAGGGGTGGTATTTGGTCCTGCTGTGAAGGTAGAGGACTAGACTCAATGACCTTTCAAGGTCCCTTCCAGTTCTAGGAGATAGGCAATTTCCATTAATTTAAGATTTCTAGAACAGCATAACTTCTTTCTTCTCTATTAACCAATGAATTCTGCTCGTGTAAATTGGACCACAGAATTAGTGCTGCCACGGCACTGTAACTTTAAGGAGACTCACTTGAAACTGATGGCTTTACTCTGTTGCCTCACCAGAAAGCCGAGGTCCAGCACAGGCAAGCAGCGAAGGCTTCATTAAAAGGCTGAGACCTAGACAGATGAGCAGTCTCCAGTTGCATTTTCTTCCATCTTCCCCATCTGTTCATTGCGGTTTTAATTAAATCTACTGAGATTATTCTTGGCCTGCTCCAAGAACTAGAAAGCTAACCCGTGCCAATGTCCACTCATCTCTGCTCTTTACTGCCAGCCACTAATGAGCAGGCACATAGGGGAAGAACGCTCTTGTGCTTCCCCCTCCACTCGCCAGCTATCATGAGCTGTTAATAAGAAAGAAGCCAAAAGGGCCCAGGCCTCCATCCCATTGTGCATCTGTACCAAGCAAAACAAACTAATGAAGGATTCCACTTGTAGCTAGCTTGCTAATAGAAATGACAGGCTTCAAATAACCTTCAAGCATCCAGCACGATGCTTGTCTATCTGATCAGGGCGCGTCTGCTGGCACCTGACACTTTCAATGGTATAATGGCATTCACACGCATTCTTTTTGAATGCTGTCACACAGCAAAATCTTTCTTCTCTTCATTTGCTTCAAGGGTGCCTGGCAAAGCTATTAAGTCGGTGATGGAAATGACAGTTCACTGTGAGCCTGTCAGTCTCACTTCTGATGTCAGCACATCCTTATACCCATTAAGAGCATATCACTACAACTTCACAATAACCTGCTGTAATGTACTCTCCGACTGTGCATCTCACTTCCAAACATAGCACCTAATAAGGTTGCTGATAGTCCCCTTCTTCAGCACTCCTTACATATTTGTTTAGTTCAAAGGGCTTTTCTCAGAGAAAGGTGGAGGTAAAGCGGGAAACCCTTTGGAAATATTCCCATAAATGAACCACATGGTAATCAAGAAGTACTGTCTGTGTCTGTTCATATTTATCCCTTATCAGTTAGAACATCAGGGTTTTGAACCTCATTAGCTTTAACACTTCTGGTTTCCACAAACATTGATAAAAGTTCAGCAAGCCAATGGATCAACCACACCAAATTGATATTTTGATAAAATCTCGGGTATAGCAAAGCAATCCAGGCAGACATTTAAATGCCAGCCAAATAAATGTGTAGTTATTTAAGAGACCACTCATGTAACTGTACCACGGTCAGCATTTCACTTGGGAGACTATTCTGTACTGAAACAGAGATACTGAAACATTCATAGGGTTTTCCCCCCAGCTTTATTGACTTTATATTTAATTTAATCCCCTTATTCTTCGTACTGTTTTAGTACATTGAACATTGTAACAGTCCACAGAACTTAATTTTTACAGCAATTTTACCATAATTGGAAAATACGGATGGAACTTTGGAACAATTTAGGCAACACTAAGAATCTAAATGATGTTCTTTTAATCAAGACCGGTAATGCCGATGAGTGCAACAGTGCATCATCTCTGCATTGCTGGTTTAACGTGGAAGCACAATATCTCCTTGTTTACAGCCTTAGTGTTGCATAGCTAATTGGGTTTTTTTCAGAATTTCAAGGTTTTAGTCAGTTGGCTAACATGCTTGTGAACTCATCTGTACAGAACATTTGTATTTCTCTTCTGTTATATCCCTAACTGTGATGAGTTAATTACAGAGCATGCATTTTAAGTGATACACAAGTGGCAGTATGTGATTAAGCATTGATGCAGATGTATCTGCATTACTGTATCTTCTCCTGAAGTTCATCTGGAGCACTGAATCCAATTCTGTGCCCCCCTTCATTACAGAAAGGATGTGGACACACTGGATGACAGAACAAGGAGCAATGGTCTCAAGTTGCACCAGGGGAGGTCTAGGTTGGATATTAGAAAAAACTATTTTACTAGAAGGGTGGGGGAGCACTGGAATGTAATACCTAGGGAGTTGGTGGAATCTCCATCTCTAGAGGTTTTTAAGGCTCGGCTTGACAAAGCTCTGGCAGGGATGATTTAGTTGGGATTGGTCCTGCTTTTTAGCAGGGGGTTGGACTCGATGACCTCTGGAGGTCTCATCCAACCCTAGGATTCCATCTTTTTTCTTCCTAAGCATTAACCATTGTCCTTCTTGTTGGCAATATGATAAATAG